TACTCTGAACCAGTAGGCCGCACCCCACCACAGATTGTCCACGTGCAGAGTTAATTTTGTTATGTGCACCAGTATGGAGGGGATGTGATACACTCACTCATAGGAGCTGCTGCTGCATCTCTCATTGGCCACGGTTCCCAGCCAATGGGAGCTGTGGGGCAGAGTCAGCACCCAGAGCCGCCGTGATCATCCCTCCATCTAAGACCCAAGGGACATGCTGGCCACTTCCAGGGAGCCACACAGAGCCAGTTAGAGAGCCTGCCAACCCTGTATCCAGGTCCAACAAATGGGGGTGACAAAAGAGGCCAATCACCCCGGGGCCCAGTGATTGAAAAGGTCCTTTTAAATCACTGCCGCAGCGCTATGCTCCATGCGACTCTGAGGGTGGGTGGGCGGAGGGGCCAGTGCACCCTGGTCCTGGCAGCATTGAGGGCTGGCTGCCCCTGGCCCTGCCCCTTCTGTCCAAGGCCCCACCCATTCTGGGATCATGGAGCTGCCCCTCCCTGTCTTGCCCAATGGCCTGCAGAGCCGTCGGCTCCTCTGCCTGCACCAACTGGATTTATACACCTGAATCCCTTTTCAACTGGATGTTTCAGTCACCTGGTAACCCTAAAGCCCTTTGATCAACTCCTCCCCAAAATGCAGACTTCTTAATATGCTGGGTTATTGTTTTCCTCATGGCTACCCATAAACATGGATACCAACTCTCCCTAATTTTCCATATTTTGCAATTAGATTTAAAATCCGGTAGGATTAAGTGTGTTGTGTGTCACTCACCCCTCAGGTCAGATGAGCACAATGCTTTGGCTGTGGGAGGCCGCCTTCTCCATCACTGGAGCCTAGGGTTGCCAATTTTGATTGGGTGTATTCCTGGAGATTTCATCACATGTCATAATCTTTAATTCCTCGTGACTCTGAGACAATACTGAAGGGTTCTCAGCCCTGCAGCAAGCAACCTTCTTAATTTTTTTTGGTAAATGTCCCCAAATGTCTCAGAGCAAGGCTGGCATCTTGGCATAAACCTTCTTCATTGTATAATGTGTTGTCAGTCATATTAACATGTAATGACAGAGGGAGACGTTTTTGGGAAAAATTCTTTGGAGTCTTCACCTTCTTTCCCCTCACCACTTTTCTAGGTAGCCCCAAGTACAAATATTATGTGCCATTCATACATTTTCTGACAGGAACAAAACTTGGTAACTTGGAGGCAGTTGTACTTTTTCCACGAACCTGCCCAAAACAAATCTTTGTTCACATCAATGTTTAAGAAGGGTGTGTCTAAACTACACCCCTCTGCCGACAGAGGGATGTAGATTAGGCACATCGCTATTGCAAATGAAGCGGGGATTTAAATAGCCTATGCTTCATTTGAATAGAAATGGCCACCGCTTTTTGCCGACACGGCACTTTGCCGGCAAAAAGCAGCAGTCTAGACGGAGATTGGTCAACAAGGAAAGCCTTTTCCTACTGATCCTGTAAACCTTGACTGCAGCTCCACTGCTGGGGAGCTGCTGTGCTATAGTCTTTGCAGTATAAGCATCATACTGCAAAGCCTTAGCATTATACTGCCCTCAGCATGTACCATGGAGCCTCTGAAATTTTCAGCGGTTACACAATTACCTAATTAACCACTTTTTAACATCCCTACTCTGTATTACTGATGCTCTCCCCACCAGATCTTGCATATATCGTTTAGGTCATTTTGACATATAAGTATAAGCATTCATCATTACCCCATGACTTCTAATCAAATATAGTCTATACAACAAACTCTTTATGTGCCATTTAGGGTTTAACCTTCTTCATTAAATCCAGGGAGTTTTTCCATTGACTAGAATGGAAGTAGGTTTGAGCCTCTTTACTCAATATTGAATGGAAACTTGAAAGATGTTGTTTTTCCTTCTCCTGCCCCTTTTGAATGTGTTAGTTCAAAAGACCCCCTTGAACCTGGGAAAACATGAAGTAGATAGATAAACTACCCATTTTGCATATACCATCGGGTATCACGTAAAGCTCCAGCCCTCTTACTTGCTCAGAGCCCCTGGATGCCCGGGAGCAAATATCTCTTGCTTCCCAAGGACCTACGGAGTGCTAATTAGGCTGTTCCAGACTCACTCACAGAGTTAGACAGAAGATAATTCCTTAGTCACAGGTTTAGAGTTCTTGTATTTCTATTACTCCAGTTCATGTCAAATGTGATTTCTGTTGCATCACAGACATGAATTCTCATTACAAATACATTTTGAAAATCTAAGCATCTAACCATCCTCTCTTTGCCCTCTATTTCCCATTGCAAGAATATATTTGCGAAGGTCCATGCTTAATCACACTTGCCAATCTTGCCTTTTTAACCCAGTATGGAAGTAACCAGAATCAATTTATATTGAGTTTCTCTGACTGTTTCTCAAATATTTTCTACCTTTGTTGCAGGCAATTTGCTACACATTTACAAGTTTCTAATAAAAAAACATTATCTAGTTTGACTGTAGCAACATCCAAAATTACTTCATTAACCGTTACTGATCTTCACTCCAAAACATCTGTGGTGCTGTGTCAAATCAAAATATTTATAAAATATTTCTCTTTACAGGCATATCATCCAAATTCTCACCTCCTGTTTTATTTTCCTTTCAGTTTGGTAAACATAATTGTTGTATTGCATATAACTCACCTAATACAAAATAATACGTTTGCTCCCATATGCTAATGATATTCTATCTCCATTCCACATCATATAACTTCAATTCAGAAATATATGCCCCAGTATCTATATATTGTTGGTCTTTGGCTTGGCTTCCCTTGTCATTACATTCTCATGAGCCAATTTCAGGTGTGGGACTAATCCACATAACTCAGCTGAAATAAATCAAAATCAAAATCAAGTGCACTGGCTACTAGATATGTACTTGCTTCACACTTAGACATTCACCTCTATTCTGTTGTTCCTTGATTGGTAATCTAAAACTTGGGTAGTGATTTTTGAATGATCAGACAAACAGTTTGCTGCCTGCCATATAGTTGAGCTAATCAGCTTCTGCATTAGTGCTCTGTTTCTTAACATTAGTTTTAGTTGAGTAAACTGTCAAAACAATACCTCTTAACCAGAATGGCCAACTACGTATTCATCCCAAACAGTCTGTTCAGAAATTCACCAGTCCTCACTTCAGAATATCGCTGACATTTCAGAATGAATATATTTTTGTCTCTGTTACAGGCCAGGAGGCTAAATTCTGCACTGGGTTATAGACTCACACATAGACTTAGCATAGTCAAAATGATCAACTACTTTGATTTAGGTTTCAACTCTTGTATTTTTATATTTTGAGTTCAGACTGAAAACACATTGTTCCATTTTTGTCCCCCTCCAGGCTTATGATCTGCTCAGTCAGCTAATCACGTTTATTATCCATCTTTTTTAACTGCTACTTGCAATGCTGCCTGACCTCAAAATAAGTTTTACTGACATTTCTGCCTTTAGGGCCTCCAAATTTTTTGGCAGGTCAGCAATACTAGAATGTAGTCTAAGGGGTTGCATGGGTGTAACAGTGGGCAGAGCTTGGCAGAATTTTCCTATTACTGTTTTATTTCAGCATGAACAAATACAAACAAGCTCATCCTTCTCTTTCTCCTAGGTGCACACATTTGCTAACCTGGTTCTCTGTCTTTAAGAGAATAAAGTAGGCTAATTATTTATCTACTGCCTAATTTCCCCATAGCATCTCTGCTCAGGTGCCATACAATACCACCCAGTATCTGTCAAACACCACTATTCTCTTCATCCCTTTACTGCACTTCCTGCCTTCCCATACCCCACATCCTTACAGTTATATATCTGTGGTCTTTGTATCATCCTTTGTGCTCTGCCTCTAGTTTATTCAACCTGCAATTTTGACAGCTAGTCCTCCTCCTTTGTTTTCATATAATCATTTACTCTTAATCTAAACCAGCTAGGTTTCATTCATACATCTCTCCTCATTGTGCATTAAATATCACAGAGTTTTGATGCAGATTGGTTCTACCACTTCTGTACAACCAACAGTGCCCATGCAGCATTTGCTCTTACCACATCCCACAGGAGCAATCACAAACATTTTGCTCTGGATATACAATGTAATTTTTAAATTGATTGTTTACAGTGAATAACCAGCAATTCTTGGCATTCAGTCAACAGCTCGTTTTCTTGTTTTCTTTTATGAATGAGACCAGTACATGAGCTATCGTCTCTCGTGTCTTCTGTTCTGCTCACCTCCTAAGTTCTCTGTGTAAACGAATAACGTTTGGATAGTTGTGTTATGTTTTTGATAAAGAGATTACGCCAAGTTGAACCTCGCTAGTCCGGAACTCTCTAATCCGGCAACATCTGTGGTCCAGCATGATTTTATTTAGCTTGATGTCCACCAGTGTTCCCTCTAAGCTGCGCGGCAGCACAGGACAGGGCTGATTAATCTGACTGGACGGGGCTGATTAAACTGGGTGGGCGGGGCTGTTTAATCACCCGTGAAGCTGTGCTGCCACGCACCTTTGAGGGAACACTGATGTCCACTTATCATTGGTGTGGCCAAATTACCCATGTTCCTATAATGTTTGTTGACAGCCACCAGTCCTGGCTCTGTGTCCTGTGCTGTTGTTTAGCTCTAATTTACCCCTAAATTATTTTTCAGAGCCCAGTAAGCAATGGAAGTGTTGGTAATGTTGCTAGACAATATTTACCTTCTGTGTTACTACAAATTCTCTGGTTTGGCACCCAGTCAAGTCCCAAGGGTGCTGGATTGGAGTAGTTCAACCTCTAAATAAAAAGTTTAAAACTCTATTTATAAAATACGATCATTTGTTTAGTTATTAAACTGTGAGAGTAGGGTATGGCTTTTATATTCTGATTTGTTAGGATTTCATTAAATGTTTTTGTTTTGCAGAAACTGTATGGGGAGTTTCCTCCGAACCTGTAAAAAGGGGGCTGCATCATTATCAATGCCTATTAAAATATTCTGTTTTTTCCCCAGGTTTTGAGTTACGTCCATACAGAATGGGATCCGCTTGATGCTAGCTTTAGCACCACTCAGCCGTATCAAGTTCACACAGTGGAGCACTCCATCAGCACAGACAAAGAGCCCATGGCTGACAGCTGCCTCTATGAGTGGGTGAGGAAGAAATTTCAGTGCATGGCAGTCACCAGAATACCTCTCAGATCAAAGGCCATCAGTTGCTGCAGGAACATTACAGAAGACAAGCTGGTTCTGGGCTGTGAAGATTCTTCAGTCATTCTGTATGAAGCCCACCAGAGAGTGACTCTGTTAGCCCAGGCAGAACTATTGCCTGCTTTAATAAACTGCCACCCCAGCGGAGCAATATTTCTGATCGGCAGCTCTCAAGGGGAGCTGCAGCTCTTTGACACGGCCCTGTCCCCAATTAAAATGCAGCTTTTGGCAGAAGACTATTCACCTACGACAACTTTGCAATTCAGTAAGCGGTTTGATGTGTCTAGCAGCCTCATCCAGCTACAATGGGCAGCACCTCCTGCTGCATCTCCCAGGGACAACAGCATGAATGTTCATGACCTTCTGTTAATTCGGTTTGACAAAGGACCTTTAGGAGTTCTTCAGTTTAAACTTGGTAAGTCACTCAGCACATTACAGTGTCTAGGTAACACCTCTTCTTCACCAGCTTCTCCCATTGTGAAGGTTATTGCTCACTTTAGTCTCATAATTGCTAATGTTCCAAATCGATTTAATGTCCCCTCATACAGGGACTAACATAATGGAAACCTGGCCTGTGATGGGCTCCTAGGTACAACTGCAACAAAAATAGTTTTTCTGTTAAGTTATTTATGTCAGAAATACAAAATCATGGCTCTTTCTGAGTGCTCACATGGGTCCTTTCCATTCTAGATGCTTTTGAATTGAAGAGAGAACTTTTTCCCATATTACTACCACTGGAGTGGCTTGTGCACCCTGCGAGCCCAGGGTATAAACGGGAGGAGCCATCCCAATCCCTCTCAGTTCCTTTTCACTGCCCATTGGTCGGCAGTCAAACTGTGTATCTGAGCTTCTCGTATTCTTTCCTGTTCACACTTTAGAAAAACTTTTTCTAGAGTTCTTTTATTTTATATATAGCATAATTGTGGTTTGTCTGGGTAACAGGAGAGGGATCATGTGAGGATTACCTGTTGTGTTCCCTCCCTCTGGGGTACCTGGCCACTGTTGGCAAACAGGATACGGGGCTAGATGGACTTTTGGTCTGGTCCATGGCCATTCTTATGTTATAGTTTTAGTCAGGAGTACTCATTTATGAAAACAATCTTGGTTATCTTATTTTTCTTTGTGCATTTAGCTTGATCCCAGAGCATGCTTAAGTCTCTGGGATTTAAGCACTTTTCTGGCTACGAGAAGTGTGTGTCTGTCAGTGGGGGGGATATAAAGGAGACAGTTGCCCCAGGGCCCAATGATTCAAAGGGGCCCGATCTGTGGCAGCGGCCATACACCTGGGCTGTTTAAATTTCCACTGGAGTGCCACATGACGGCACACTTCATGTGGCCCTGAGGGTTGGGGGGGGGGGACTCATGGCACACTCTGGGCAGCACGGAGGGCTGGCTGCCGTAGCCCCACCCCTTCTGCCCAAAGCCCTGCCCCTCCCAAAAACATGGAGCTGAGGCCCTCCTACCTAGCCGAGGGGCCTGCGCAGGCTGTCGATGGCTCTGCCTATCAGAAATCCTCACTCCCACCATTTCAGGTGTTTGGGAGAAGGACCCCTATCTGTAAGGGTTTAAGACCAGGACTCAGAAGTTGAGGGAAGTTGGACTTTGAGATGGAAGCAGCTTTGCAACTCCATTTTGGAATCCAGTCACTTGCTATGTGGGGAAAATGACTCAACCGAAGTTGGCAGCATCCCGATGTTGACATTTGTAAAGAAGTGGCCAGAGAAGTTCAGAGCTCTTGGAAGTGGTAAGCTGCCTGGAAGCAAGAGGATCTTTAACAGGCTGCATTGGATGAAGCAGATTCAGTTGTTCAGGTGCCAGCAACAGTAGTCACGACTCATTGTGCTTCTTGGCTACAGTCATCAGACAGCTGAAGTCCACCAGACCATTGAGGACTTGCCCTTTGAGGGCTCAGATTTACTTCCTGAGAAGGCAGATGAAGCTTTGCAGTCTCTTAAAGATTCTAGGGCAATCATCCCGTTTTTCGGACATTTATACCCTAGGCCCTAAAGAGAAAGCAATTTCTGTCTACAGGTCCAGCAAAGGTAGCAAATTGTTTCTGCCTGATGAGGCAACTGGTTCAATCCAGGATATGTCATAAGTCTCAGAGGAAGAGACTTCTTCCTGCCACCTTCTATTACCTCCAAATAATCCATAACATCTAAGTCGTATTGACTCTTTAATTAAGGCCTGTAAACCATTTCCTCCAAATTCCTCCCTGGCACCAGGTAGCCCCACAGGTTGCTAGGATTCACATTACAACAGATTGATAGGTTGTAAGCATGGTTCACCTGGGATATACTCAGCAATTCATACACTCCCCATCCCTTTCAGGGACAGTTCTCACAACACTGTACTGAGTCAAGAAGTTCAGTGATGTTGCAGGAAGGGGTAACAAGGGACCTGGGAGAATGGATTCAGTTCCCATTATTTTCTCATGCCACGGTCCAGAAGAGATCTGTGAAACCTCAGCAGATTTGTAAAGAAGATAAGCTTCCTGTGGCAATCCTGGCATCTATTACCCCATCCCTTGACCCCAATGGCTGGTTTGCTGCCCTTGACTTAAAGGATGTCAACTTCCCTGTGGCAAATTACCAGAGCCACAGTTAGATTAAGATTTGTTGGAGCAAATATTCACTATTAGGTTACAGTCCTTCCCTTTGGCCTGTCCTCTGCCCCTCAAAGTCTTCACAACGTTCAAGACAGTGGTTGTAGCACATCCCAGGATGGCAGTAGTCCAGGAGTACCCACATTTGGACAACTCATAAATGAAATGTCATTCCAGACATCAAGTAATAGTGGCTATCGAAGAGCACATGTTCCTCTTTTGCTTATTGGGCCTGTCAATCAAGGACATGTCAGTTCTTTTCCCTGTATAGCAAGTCAAATTCATAGGAATTGTTCTCAACCAAAACTCTAAGGTGAAGTTTAGTGTGCTGAATCATGTATGTATAAGATGCGATGTGATGTAGACATTTCAGACAATTCTTCATGATCATATGAAGATATATCTGGAAGCCTTTTCATAGGTCCTGTATTGCCTGAAACCTACTCTGTGGTAAAGATGATCTTGTTATGCAGAGGTGGTTGAAGTCTGTCTACCATCTCTCTCTGGACTGGCAGATTCACTTACTGTAAGTGTTTTGTCGTCCCTGGACTGGTGGATGTATCCTGCCAATATATGTAATGGGATTCCTGTTGTCCATGACCATAGTCATGGAGGCTTCCTCTCTCGGCTGGCAGGGAGCTCATTTAGAGGCCTTTCAGACACAAGATCTCTGGTCAAATCAGAATCTCTCCCTCCACATCAGTATTTGAGAACTCGACCTATCTAGCCTAGCCTTTCAAGTGTTTATTCCTCACACCCGTAAGGGTGCATGTAGATAACAGTGTTCTGTTTAAATAAGCAGGAAGGCGACAGGTCAGATCCCTGTGTCAAGAGAAAATGAACTTTCGTGTTCCTGCATCAGGAACAAGATTACACTCAAAGCATCTCAGAATGGTATGGCAGATCATTTAGTAAAGATGTGAATGTGATCACTTGGACCTGATATAGAAAGTCTATTTTTCAGATTTGAGTGATAGCAAAAATAGACCGATTCACTATGCAACATAACATGAGCAGGTCACAGTCCAGAGTCTGTGCCAGATGCCTTCCTTCTGTCCTGGAAGGGGAAACGTCTTTACACTTTTCCTCCAGTCCCTATGGTGATGGTGTTGAGAGCTTTGAACAAACTCAAACATGATCACTCCATCTTAATTTTGATAGCCCTAGTCAGACCCCATCACCATTCATTTTCAGACCTGATTAGCCTTTCAGAGCCATACTTCTCCGGAAGTTTGGGGCATCGTTTTGTAGACCACAGCCAGACTCTAAGTCCCAGCCCTCTTGGCTGACACCAGACTGTTCAGATGATCAGTGGTTAACTCCCCAGGCATCTGTCTGTTTCCTTGGAATGCAAAAAAATTCTTTTAAATATCAGAAAACCTCTGGCAGGTATATTTACATCAAGAAATGGAAGAGGTTGTTGGTGATCCCAGAAGAAAGATACCTACTCCTCACAGGCTCTTCTCATTTGAATTTGGATTACCTTCTTCTTCTAAAGGAAAAAAAACTTTCAGTCCATTTCCTGAGGATTCATTGGGCAGCTGTCTCTAGATTCCATCCTCTTGTACCTGGAAGATCTGTTTTTTCCAACTCTCTTTTGGCTTTTGAAAGGTTTGGACTGGGTTATCTGATTTATTAGGGACTCAACACCATCCTGAGACCTAAATTTGTTTTTTGTGGTTTTAATAGGCTCCCCGCTTTGAGTCTATAGCTAGATGCTCATTTTCTCATCTCTTCAATGAAAGTAGCATTCAGGCAGGAGGGTAGCAGAGGTTCAGGCTATGATGGGTGACCCTGCTAAGACAGAGCTTGATAAAGTTAATATGAACCCACAACTCAAGTGTGTCCGATTTCCATCTAAATCACCTGTCTACTTAGCAACTCTTTTCCATAGAATTTACTCTCACAAAGGTGAGGAAAAACTTCAGACTTTAAACATTCATAGGGTGTTCGCTTTCACCAGAACAGGACTGACTGTTTTAGAATGTCTCTACACTTAGTTGTCTCTTTTGCTGACAGGATGAAGGACAACATGTCACTTCACAGAAGATTTCTTCCTAAAGCTCCTCCTGTATACATCTGTGCTCAATATTGTTATAGTTCTACTATCTCCATGAGTTTTAACACACTTTATGACAGTACAACCACTGCCAGTGACTTTTTCGGGTCACATTCACATCAGTGACTTTTGCAAGGTAGTGGCTTGGTTCATAGGTTCATTGCCCATTGTGTTTTCTCTCAGAACTCAGGAGATTATTTCTAGATTTGAGAGCACGGTGTTGCAGTACTTGCTCCAGTAGACTCCAATTCCCTTCTTCATCTGCAACTGCTTATGAGTCACCCAGAATGAATGGACACATGCAAGAACTCAGAATAAAAAGTTGTTCTTTGAGATGTTCTGTGCATGTCCATTCCATGACCCACCCTCCTTCCCCTCTGCATTGGAATCACAACATATACTTGCTTCCAGTGTGAAGGAACTGAAAGGGTGGTTCCCTCAGCTAGCAACATGGGTATGCAGCAAGTGCATATAATGCCTCAACAGCTTATTAAATTTACAGATGATACCAAGTTGGGAGGGGTTCAAACTGCTTTGGAGGATAGGGTCATAATTCAAAATGATCCGAACAAATTGGACAAATGGTCTGAGGTAAATAGGATGAAGTTTAATAAGGACAAATGCAAAGTACTCCACTTAGGAAGGAACAATCAGTTTCACACATACAGAATAGGAAGTTAATGTCTAGGAAGGAGTACAGCAGAAAGGAATCTAGGGGTCATAATGGACCACAAGCTAAAGATGAGTCAAC